TTTAATTCTTTAAGTCTCAATGGGCTGTGTTTACTTCGGGTGGAGGGGGTCTTAAATTCCTCATCACTATCTGACCCGCTTCCCTCAGAGCCAGAACATTCATCACAGGGCCCTGGGCCCTCAGATGGCTCGATTTCAGTTTCCTCGGAGAGGCCAGTTTCGTTTTTGTCACGGCTCCGGGTAACAGGAAAGGTTAAAATAGGAGCCTTGAGCCTTTTATGTTTTTGTTTCTCAGTTTTTAATTTGTCTCTCTCTCTAGGAGAAATGGTCAGGGTAAGTAGCTCGGTGTCAAGAGCCTGTATTTCCTTGACTAGTTGCAGATGTTCCCTCTTTTGTTCAAGAATATTATGAAGAGAGGAAACATCTTGGGTAAGGGAAACTTTGGCCCGATGAAGGGGATCTGAGTGTGGTGTTTTTGAAAGGGGGAAGTTATAATTATAAGGTGGTGGCCTAGAGCCTTCAGAAAAATGTTATTGAATAGGTTAATGCTGTTGTAATGAAATGCTTCTTTTAATTAAAAAATAAATAAATAAAAAATAAAAAATAAATTGACTATGGCAAAAATATTTATACTGAGGAAATTAGCAAATACTACAACTTAGGGTTTTCTTCCCTTAGGTTGTAAAATATTTCATCCTCTTTATTATATCAGAGTCAAAAATGTCATTGTGCTATCCTTTCATACAGTATCTCTAAGTAGGATAAATTTTTACACCTTTCAAGTCTACCAAATGTATCTAAGACCTGATACATTTCAGCAGAGCAAGTGGGAACTACTTGTAACTGAAAGACTATTGGACTTTACTTACTGGCTTTTTGGTGGTGCCAAAGCTGAGTGAGATCCAGGGCTTTGAAACCTGTTAAGCATATGCTTTACCATTGAGTTACATCCTCAGCCCTGGACTTAAATACTTTTCATGATTACCAAAGAGTCAGTGACTAAAAATTGTGCTTCACAGTTTGCAAACATTCACTGACCTCTAATTGCCTCGGGGAAGACACCCCACACATGGATTAGGAAGGCTTCTAATGCCTAGAGTTCTAGTTACATCTGTAGACAGTAGTGGGAGCAAGGTAAGCAAGGATACTTCAGACCAAGGAATAATGCTAAAACTTCATTTTTGTTTCCATTTCCCACACACTTTGGCCAAAAATGGTAACAAAGAACTAAAGTAATTGGTTTGAATTTCACTTCCTTTCTCTGATAAAGACATTTGTGAACTGTGAAATGATTAGAAGCTAAGAAACAGGGTAGAAGGATAAATTCACAGAAACTGATTTAATTGGATCAGCTCATTCTGAACATTCAGGAGTTTATTTTGCTAGGCAATCACTTTGTGCCATTGAAAGCTTTGCCCTGAGTTAATCCATTGACATTCTAGAGTATATTTTTCTCTAGTTTGATTCATGTGGACCATAGCTCTGAAATTACTCATGCAAATCTGTGAACTTACGGGGGAATCTTCTTTTCCAGAACTTTATCTTAGGTAAATACCAGCCTTTCCAGTGCTAAGAAACCTGTTTGTTGTCTCTTATGTATACTTCCATGAGATCTCAAAAATACCTACTCTGCCAGGTATAGTGGCACACACCTTTAATCTCAGCACTCAGGAAGCAGAGGCAGGAAGATCTCTGTGAGATGGAGACCAACCTGATCTACATAGTGAGTTCTAGGCCAGCTAGAACTACAGGGAAAGACTGTCTCAAATAAATAAATAAATCCTCCTCCTATTATTGGAAAGAATCTTTGAGTTGTCTTTAGAAAACTTAGTAGCTGTCATTCAAATGGGCCCTGCCCTCTGCCTCTCTGTAATGTGAATGAATTTTTATGAAGGACAAATGATAGTAGCCAAAAAGAGTTCATGCTAGAAAGTAACCAAAACTGACTGTGAATGTAGCCTAGTTGGTAAGTGTTTGCCTCTCATGCATGATGCCCTGGGTCCATTCCCCAACACCATACACACAAAAGATGTGGGCCTCACTGATATCAAATAGAGCCAGCTTCTGACATATCAGCCTATTTTTTTCCACACATTCTTCTTTATGTCCCTGGTCCCAACTCCCTCCATAATTGCCACCTTTTTAACCCTCTTTTCAAATGGTACATTTTAAGTTATACAAGCAAAATTTTTGTGTGTTTTTGAGACAGAGTATCACTGTGTAGCTCTGAATGGCCTGGAACTCACCTCATAGAGCAGGCTAGCCTAGAACTCACAGATTACAAGTATATGCCACCACACCCAGTTTAGAGTTCTTACTTAATTTATGTGTATGTATACCTGCTTGTCTCTATGTGCATCACGTGTGCTAGGCCCATAGAGGACAAAAGAAGGTATCATATCCCCTGGAGCTAGAGTTTCAGGCAGTTGTAAGCTACCTGATGTGACTGCTGGGAACCAACCTGGGTCCTCTGCAAGAGTAACAAGTGCTGTTTAACTGCTGTACCATCTCTAGTCTCAAGTTCTTACTTTTCTTGAAACAGGGTCTCCCTATAGCCCCAGCTGGCCTGGAACCACTATATAAAATGGGCTGGCCTCAATCTCACAGAGATCCATCTGCCTCTGCCTCAGTCTCATAAGTGCTGGTATTAAAGGTGTGCACTACCACACCCAGCCCCAAGTTCTTACTTTTTAAATGTATATCTGTATATTGTGTGTGTGTGTGTGTGTGTGTGTTGCCTACATGTATGTAAGTGTAGCCATGTTGTGCAATGCCCATAGAGATCAGAAGAAGGTGAAATGCATGAAGAGGTTGTCTTAACATCATTTTTTTTTTTTGGTCTTTTTGAGACAGGGTCTCCCTGTAGCCCCAGCTGTCCTAGAACTCACTATGTAGACCAGGCTGGCCTTGAACGCACAGAGATCCGCCTGCCTCTGCCTCCCGAGTGCTAGGATTAAAGGTGCGTGCCACCACGCCTGGCATTTAAGGTCAGAGGAGGGCTTCAGATTCCCCTGGAACTGGAGTTAAGGAGGGTTCGTAGGCACCATGTGGGTGCTGGGAATCAAACCCGGGTCCTCTGCAAGAGCAGTCAGTACTCTTAACCACTGAGGCATCTCTCCAGCCCCTTAACATCTTTTTATACTTGGTGGATTCCTCTCTTTTGCCTCACTATACTCTATCTAAACCCCTTTTTCTTCTCCAGTGAGTGTACACTTTCCCAGCAGTTGACATTAAAAAAAGAAGTCTTAGGCCAGGCATGGTGGTGCACGCCTTTAATCCCAGCCCTTGGGAGGCAGAGGCAGGTGGATCTTTGTGAGTTCGAGGCCAGCCGGACAGCTGGGGCTACAGGGAGACCCTGTCTCAAAAAGAAAAAAAAAAAAAAAAAAAAAAAAAGAAGTCTTAGCTTCAAATTGCAGTATTATTTTTCTGCAAAGTCATCTCATCTCATGCATAACTGCCATGCCTGGAGTTCACCCAGATTTTGTGAAGAGAGGCAGTAGTTCCTCCCTTTGGAAGAATGCTCAGCTCTGCATTATACTGCACAGAGATCTGTTTATTCAGAAAGGTATCCAGCTGGCATGGAGAAGGAATGTTCAGAAGATAGTTTAAAGAAAATTTGCAGTGAAAAGAAAAGATTGATAGGTAGAAAGCCAGGATGTTATTAGGAAAATTGGTTCATCTAAAACCCTTATACATGCATACAACCTGAGCTGGAAACCTTGGTTCAACCAGATTTCATTATCAACAGCTCTCCTGGAAGGTTATTGGATTTGGCTGAGAAAAAGCTACATGTGAATAGAGACCTTTTGCCAAAAAAGCAACTTTTTTTAGCTGAGCAAGAGAAACACAAGAGTATTGGACACAAAGTAATTTTGCCTGTGAATAAAGTGGCAGGATTTTTATTGTTGATTGTCTTTTTCAAGATTTGATATTTCAAATTCTTTTGAGAAGATTCCTTTTCAAATAAAAATTCAGCCTCAAGCTGGTTATACTCCTAGGTAGAGAGAGATAGTGTCTGAATAGATGAAACAGTCTTAAAGTGGGTTATTTTTGTCATAGTCATAGTTTTTACCCCTGAATTGGAGGTGTATGGTATAAACTTCTCTCTCTTTTTAAAAAAATTTTTTTTATTTTATGTGTATGAGTATCACTTGCATGTATGTAAGTGCATTCCTGTTGTACAAAACCTCTAGAGCTCAGAAGGGGACATCGGATCCCCTGGAATTGGAGTTACGGACAGTTATTAGCCACCATGTGGGTGCTGGGAATGGAACCCAGGTCCTCTGTAAGAGCACTCAGTGCTCTGAATGACTGAGCCATCTCTCCAGCCCCAGTATAAACTTCTCTTAAGAGGAAAGGTAGGGAGTCCAGCATGATGCTTCAATGGGTAAAGGCACTTTCCCCCACACCTAATGACCTGAGTTCAATCCCTAGGACCCACAAGATGAAGAACTGACCCTTGAAAGCCATCCTTTAACCTCTACATGCATGCCATAGTATGCATGTGCACGCACACGTGCGTGCACACACATTAATAATAATAATAAATACAATAAATATAACTTTTAAAAAAATTAGTGCTGGGGGTGTACCTCAGTTGGTAGAATCCTTGTCTAGCATAATCACAGCCCTGGGTTCAACACCCAGCACCACATTAATTGGGCTTACTGGTACACCCCTGCAATCCCAATAATCAGGAGGTGAAAACAGAAAGATCAGAGGTTCAAGGTCAGTGGGGCTTCCAAGATGCCTTAGCAGGTAAAGGCACTTGCTTCCAAGCCTGATGACCTTAGTTTGATCTCCAGAATACCCATGGTGGAAGGAGAGAACCAACTCCTGCAAGCTGTCCTCTGACCTTTACACAGGCACTGCAGCCCCTGTTGCACTTGCAGACACATATACACAAATAAAATGTCATTTTTTTAAAATATGAGTTTTTCTTATTGTAACAAGATTTTTTCTATCTAGACAGAATTCTGCAAATTATTTAGATTTCTAAATTAAGAAGTGAAGAGCTAAGCTGGGTGTAGTGGCACAAACTTTTAATCTAGCACTCGGGAGACAGAAGCAGGCAGATTTCTGTGAGTTCAAGGCCAGCCTGGTCTACATGGTGAGTCCAATCCAGCTGGAACTACAGAGACCCTGTCTCAAAAATACAATGCCCCCTCAAAAAAAAGGAAGTGAAGGGCTGGGGAGATGACTCAGCAGTTACACATACTTACTGCTCTTGCAGAGTACCTGAGTTTGATTTCCCTCATAATTGCCTATATCTCCAGCTTCAATAGATCAATCGCCCTCTTCTGACTTCTACAAGTAGTACACACATATATACAAACCCATACAAATACAAATATACATATATATATACACATAATTTAATAATAATTTTTAAAGGAGTGAAGTAGCTGCATTTCCCTGACTGATTTGGGTGCCTGACCCTTACTGTTTGGTGTCTGTCTCCTGGAAGGCCTTTGTAGTTACTTGGTGCTAGGCCAGTTTTCTCGGGTTGAGCATAGAACTTTAAGAATCCTCCATGGTGCCAGGCATGGTGGCACACACTTTTACTCCCAGTACTAGCAGAGGCTGGTGGATATCTGTGGAATTGAAGCTAGCCTGGTCTACATATCAAGTCCCAGGCCAGCTGGAGCTGCAGGGAGACCCTGTCTCAAAAAGGGGGAAAAAAAGAATCTTCCATGGTTTTTGAAAACAAGTGAACCTAGCTAGCCTCATCGTCAGGCATCACCTTTTGAATTTTTCTTAAATAGAACTTTAACACACTTCCCCCCAGTTCAACATTCTGATTATAGGTCATTTGTAATATGATGATAATGTTTATATAACAGTTGATGATTTTCAAAGTGCTTCATTTATTTGATCTATTAAAAAAAATTGCTGACCTTTTTTGTGCCAAAAGAGAAATGAACCATATCAGAGAGTTACTCAAAGAAGACTAATGGAATAAGAATATAGAAGTGACCCCTGATTAGATAGCTAGAAGACATTGTTAATAACATTAGCAAGAGAGATGAGGGCAGAGTTCAAAGTGCTACAGATTAGGACATGTGGGAAATAATGTAAGAGAAAAAGTGAGAAATGGGGCTGGAAAGATGGCTCAGCAGTTAAGAGCACTGATTACTCTTGCTGAAGACTCAGATTTGATTCCCAGCACCCACATGGGGACTAACAACCATTCTTAACTCCAGTTCCAGGGGTCTGTTGCCCTCTTCTGGCCTCCATGAACATTGCACACATGGATACACTTACATGCAAGCAAAACATTCATACACATAAATAAAGTGAGAATTGACCATATGTGTATGAATCTTGCTCTGGTGAGAAGGGAAAAATCACTGTTGAGCGGTTTTAGAATGGAGAAAGAGCTGACATTTTAACATACATGGAATAAGCTTTTTTCTTTATATGTGCATGTGCACACATTCCTGCCATGCTATGCATGGGCGGGGGGTGGGGGGTCAGAGGACTACTTGCAGGAGTCAGTTCTTTTCCCACTTGGGCTCCAGGGTTAAACTCCTGCTGTCAGTCTTGGGCCATCACACCAGCCCAGTATGGGATAAACTACGAATATAATTTGAAAAGGTATCTGTTACACAGGACTGAAGTGAGAAGGGTATTCCTTTCTTACCAATAAAGAAAGGACAGAAAGCAGTTTGTCCTTTGCTGCTCATGGTAGGAGGAAAGTCAGAACTTCAGCTCAACTTTTCCCATGCTAATTCCATTTAGTACATCTAATTTTGAAATAGGTAAACTCTTACTGAGCCATCTCTCCAGCTCCTACTAATTAATTTTAAAGAAACCTTGATAAGACAGAGATGTGACAGGTACAAAAGTATAAAGAGTGCAAACTCAGCATGGCCAAATAAGGGGATAAACAAGCATTGTATGCTTCCTCATTTAATGCCATAGGGCATACACAACATCACCCTTGGAATATAATCTGACAAATCCAGATAATAGGCAAGTCTCCAAGATAACAGTCTACAAAAATGCCAATACTGTGAAGGACAAAATTTTTTTTAATTAGAGCAGAATTAGAAGCATGGCAAGCATGTGCAAAATACAATCCTGGAAGAAAATAATTCAATTCTAGATTAACTAAGTATAAAGGGCATTTAGCAGGGGCTGGATTTGGGGAGATTTGGGAATGGTTGTTTTTGTGAGGCAGGATCTTCCTGTAGTCCCAGCTGGCCTGGAACTCTCTACGTAGACCAGGCTTGCCTCACTCTCACAGAAATCCATCTGCTTCTGCCTCCTGAGTGCTGGGAATAAAGATGTGTGCCAACACACTTACCATGAATAGTATATTAATGTATTAGTTATGTATTGGGTGTGATTAGGTATGTTTTGGGTGTCTACTGGGTAATATGTAAGAAAATTTTCTTGAATGATATATGTTCTAATATTGTATCATAATCCACAAATGACTTTCAAATGGTCCTGTGGGAAGGGGAGTATATACATATATTGAAAGAAAGGGGGGAAAGGAAGATAAAGTAAATGTGGCAAAATATTAACAATTGATTTGCCTTTCTGGTAATCTGTAGAGCCCCTGCCAAGTTTGCCGTTTATCCCTGTTTTAAAATTTTTGCATATCATATTTCCTTCCTTTATTCTTACTTATGTTATTGAGTGAGACAAAGTTGTGCTTTATAAATCAGGCTAGCCTGGATACAACTCACTGTGAAGCCCAGAGTAACCTCAAACTCTCAGCAGTCCTCCTGCCTCAGTCTCCTGTGTGATGGGATTATAGGCATGAGCTTTTCCCTCTTTTATTTCATTCTCTAAAGCTGTATGTACACACCTTGCCCCTCAACTTCTTAGAAGTAATATAATAAGCTAGAAATATGGACTTTCAAATTTGATCTGGATTTGCTTCATTATGATACTATTTTCTTCACTCAATAAACATTTATTGAGCACCTGGTTGGTGTCAGATAGTGTACAAGATGTACAGGTTGCTGGGTACTGGAGAGATGGCTCAGCAGTTAAGAGCTCTGGCTGCTCTTACAGAGGACCTGGATTCAGTTTCCAGCACCCATGTGGCAGCTAACAACTGTCCATAACTCCAGTTCCAGGGAATCTGATGCCTTCTTCTGGCTCCGTGGGTGGGTACTGTATGACATGGTGCACTTATATACATGCAGGGAATTTTGAAAAGGCTGTACATGGGTGTGGAGAGATGGCTTGGCAGTTAAGAGCACTGGCCGCTCTTACAGAGGACCTGGCCAGGTTCAATTCCCAGCAACTAACAAACATCCCCAATTCCAGTTGTGGGGAGAATGCCCTCTTCTGACCTCCCTAGGCACTGTACAACGTGGGTGCGCTTACATACATGCAACCAATACATTCATACACACAAAATAAAAATAATAAAAATAAAATTTTCTTGGTCTTTTTGAGACAGGGTCTCCCTGAAGCCCCAACTGGCTTGGAACTCACTATGTAGACCAGGCTGGCCTCAAACTCACAGAGATCCACCTGCCTCTGCCTCTTACGTACTGGGACTAAAGGCGTGTACCACCACATCCAGCTCTTAAAAAATATTTTTTTGCCAGGCGTGGTAGCACACGCCTTTAATCCCAGCACTCAGGAGACAGAGGCAGGCGGATCTCTGTGAGATCAAGGCTAGCCTGGTCTACATAATGAGTTCCAGGACAGCTGGGATTACAGGGAGACCCTGTCTCAAAATGACTTAAATATATATTTTTTTCTAAGATATAGTGTTTCCATAAGAAACTATAGACCTGGTTTTTGCACTAAAAGAGCTAACATTACAGTAGAAGAAATGAATAGAAAAATGAGTGTTTCATAGGTATTCAAGTACAAATTCTGATACGTGCTACTATGCATGAGAATAACAGACTTCTAGCATAGATTGGATCAGAGGCAAAGGCATTTCTCCTTTTCTATGATCTTGAGTAAAAATAGCTTGAATTTAATGGGCATCAATTTTCTCTTTATAAAAAACTGAGGATAAAAGCCAGGTGTGATAGCTCAAGCTATAATCCCATCACTTGGGAGGTAGAAACAGGAGTTCAAGGCCAACCTAGGCAGAGAACCTGTCTCAGAAAAGGAAAACAACCGGGAAAAGAAAATTTACTCTTACCATTTATGAAAACTAAATGTGATAGCATCAGGTTCCTGGCATTTAGGTATTGAGTAGACGTTAGTGGCCCTCTCTTTAGATGCTCGCTTCTTTCCCCCACAGTACTCTTTCAAGTATTGTGTTTAGTTGATTTACTAATACTCACCAACCTTGTCTGTTTCGCTCCATAGGGCTCCGAATGGAATGCCTCCAACTTAGAGGACTTACAGAACCGAGGGTGAGCACATGGAACAATTGCTAACAATTGTTCAATGTATTTTCCTATCTAAGTATCAATTGGTAACTTCAGTTGCTTTCAGTTGACTCTAATCAGGTATAATCTTACAAAAATTTAAACAGCTATTCTCTCAGCTGCTTGATCCTCTTACTCCCCAAGAAAGATCAACTGCATTAATGGAAGGCCTTTCAAAAGCAAATTATAAAGTGTTTGGTGCTCTTTAAAATCAAATGTATCTCGGGAAACAGAGGCAAGCAGATCTCTTATGAGTTCAAAGCCAGCCAGCCTGGTCTCCGTAGCTAATCCAGGCCAGCTGTGGCTACAGGGAGACTCTTGTCTCAAAAAAGACCAAAAAAAAAAAAAAAATCATCAACTGTATGCTGGGTGTGGTGACCACACACTTTCCATCCCAGCACTTGGAAGGCAGAGGCAGGTGGATCTCTGTGAGTTAAAACGAGCCTGGTCTACATAGTAAGTCCCAGGTCAGCTGGGACTACAGGGGGACCTTGTCTCAAAAAGACCAAAAAATAAAAAGATAAAATCAAATCCATGTGATGGAGGTATAGCTCAGTGGTTGAGTAGAAGAGGAGAATGAATCATATCTGGAGTTTGCCATGGTAGGTGACTCCCGTGCATGCATGCTTCCTACATTCCCTTCTGCCTGACAAGTAGGGTGTTTCATAATTATTAAAATGAGCTTAAAGCAGTTTTCATACAGAAATTCTAAGGGAGAAAAATCTAGCTGCTGAGTTGAAGTTTATGTATAAAAATAAATATAACTTGGAAATTTTAAGAAAGGCTTGAGCCTAGAGCTTTTAGTCAGAGAATCTATCTTCATCTTATGAATTTATATCTACCTGACTCAAAGCTTTATACCAAGGTGATGCTCAGTGTGAATGAATGCTAGAGAAAATCATACACATATAAGAACTATAATTTGCCTAATGACAGATAAAGGGAGGAAATCAACTAGTAAATGGGACTGAGAATTTGAAGACCTCATTCTGTGTCTTCTATTTTCCCTCTTTGGTCCTGGAAAGCTTAAACTTAAATTGTTTACCAGTTAGGATCTTTGAACGGACACTTGAAGGATGAGGACCCCTGATTGAACCTGAAAAACAACATTGAATCTGCTTATCTGTAGAGGTCTACTGAATATTTCTTTGGGAATGAGGCAGAGTTTTTGACAGCTTCCAAAGTTGTGAAGTTTTAAAGTTCTATCATTCTAGAAAACTTAGATATACTATTCAGTATGAAATACAAGATTGGACATAGCAATGCTTGCCAAATGCACTATAATCACATTATGTACACATACACTGAGATTTTAGAATATAACCCTAGCTAGAGATGAGAGTTGTCCATCTCATCTGCTTCTTTTTTTTAAGGTGATTTTTTTTTTTAAGTTTTAAACTGATATATAAAAATTGCATACATTAATGAGGTACCATGTTTTATTTGGGCACATATATACATTATATGTTTTAAATCAAGTTAATCATTATCTGTCTCCTTGAACATTTGCCAAGTCTTTCCAGTGAAAACTTTCTAAATCTTCCTTTCTAGCCTTTTTTTTTTGAGACAGGGTCTCCCTGTAGCCCCAGCTGGCCTGGAACTCTCTATGTAGACCAGGCTGGCCTTGAACTCAGAGAGATCTGCCTGCCTCTGCCCCCCAAGTGCTGGGATTAAAGGCATGTGCCACCACGCCCAGCTCTTTCTATCTTTTTAAAATGTACAAGACATCATTATCCATAATCAGCCTATTGCGGAATAGCACACATCATTTACTTCTTATAAGGCTAAGCTACAAAACGCACCTGTATCTTGTTGTCTTGAAAAACAAAATGGTTGGATGCATAAACATCTACTTAGATACTATTTCTTAAAGTCAGTGGGTCTTAAACTTTAATGTATGAACAAATATAGTTCATGGGTCTGTACATAAAGCTATCTGTATATGTTCCTTGCATGTAAAATACTTACAATATTTTAAAGTGTAATTTTGACCTTAAGGTCATTTCCACACAGCCCTCTGACTCCAGAAACTAACCCAGGTGCTGTGCCACATAAAGTCACAGCATTGCTGATGGGCAAAGACGTTTCAAGGAGTTGAGTACCAATCAACAGTGGCTGCTTTCATCTCTGAAAAGAATAGGAAGTTCTACCCTGTCTAGAGAGATAGTGCCATAATCCATTACTGAGGTATAGGATTGGAAGTAGGACTTTTTTGTGGGGTTTTTTGTTGTTGTTTGTGTGTGTGTGTGTGTGTGTGTGTTTGCCCAAGGAGGCCAAAAAAGGGCATCAGATCCTCTGGAGCTGGAGTTACAGGTAGTTATAAGCTCCTCAACATGGGTGCTGCGAACTGAACTCAGGTCCTCTGGAAAAACAGCAAGCACTCTTAACACTGAGCCATCTCTCCATCCCTTCATTTTTATTTTAAATGAAATAAGTATGCTTGGTTTTGCTTCTAACTCTTTTATTTTTTTAATATTTTATTTTTACTTTACGTGTATGACTGTTTTGCCTGCACATATGTAGGTGCACTGTATGTGCAGTGTTTGTGGAGGCCATAAAAGAGTGCTGGATCCCCTGGAACTGGAGTTAAGGACATTAGCCACCATGTGGGTGCTGGGAACTAAACCCCTGGGCCTCTGGAAGAGCAGCAAGTGATCTTAACCACTGAGCCATCTCTCCAGCCCATAACCATTTTATTGAATGCAACTCATTTACAATATATAATTTGGTGGGTTTCAGTAAATGTTTCTGAGTTGTGCAAACTAATAAATTTAGAACCTTTTTCATACCAAAAAGAGAACATCTACACTTTCTCAATCATATTTACTTTCTTCCCAATCCCTAGATACCGCTGGATGTCATCAGCTGGCAGCCACTTTCTGGCTATCATGAATAATGCCACTATGATTATTGGTGCTGGAGTGGACTAATGTTTGTGTCATATAGTGACTGCTTTAACCTTTTTGGAAGTTGCTATTTTCCACAGCAGTTGCACCATTTTGCATTCCTACTGTGTGCTTACTTTTTAAATTTAAAAACTCATTTCTGAGGCTGGAGAGATGGCTCAGCGGTTAAGAACACTGGTTGTTCTTGCAGAAGACCTGAGTTTGAATCCCAGCACCCACGTGGCAGCTAACAACTGTCCGTAACTCCAGTTTCAGGGGATCCAATGTCCTCTTCTGTCCTCCACCAGCATTGCACAACACAGGTGCACTTACCTCATACAGTGTTATGCATAATACTCATACACATAAAATAAAAATAATAAATAAAATGTTTTTTTTAAATAAAGAAAATAAAACTCATTTCTACTAGTAGACTTTGATGCCAACTTAAATTCATGTCTTAGAAAAAAAAAAAGGCCTTAACCACCAAGTGCTGGGTACTGACTCTCTTCCTGTAGTCCTCTTTTTTTTTTAAACTTCAAAGATTGAGTTTGTGGAGCCCCCACATTTGGTTATGGGAAGGGAAGCTGCTTCTGCAGAGAGAAGTGAGTCTGTGTTTTACGTTGGAGTAAATTCTAGTGATGTCTAAGTCTATACAACATTGAGGGGGAAAAAATCTTTGGTAAATTAAACCCAAGCATGTATTGAGGTGGTGTAGCAAGAGAGATTAGAGGAGATTTTTTAGGAGAGAAACTCTTTTCTGCAAGCATGTCAGTATGGGAGAGCCTTCAACATTTCTGCTGCCATAGCAGCCAGGAGTGCAGCCAGAGAGCTGAGAAACTCTCACATCCAGCTTTCCTCAGACCCTCCAGTTCTGGCCTCATTGCCTTCATGAAGAAAGTAACGAAGCAAAGCCTAGCCATCTGGCATTTAGAAAAATAGGAATAAATTTTCCCTTTTTCTCTTGGAGTATATGTCAGTAGTCTGATTTTATACAAATAACTTCCAAAGAAGTAATTTTAGTGACAGAAATTGCTAGGTCCTGAGTCTTGGGTTGATTCTTGAGCATAAATAGGAGGGTTGTTTCCAAGAGACTATCAAAGACAAGATTGTGTAACCATACAGAAACTGAAAATGGAATTTAGGTATTGAACATGGCTGGGAATAGGGTTTAGCTTGAGTAACAGAGCACACGTTCTCCCTTGGTTCCTCACAGGGTACGGTATATCTTGAATGTCACTCGAGAGATAGACAACTTCTTCCCTGGAGTCTTTGAATATCATAACATCCGGGTATATGATGAAGAGGCAACGGATCTCCTGGCTTACTGGAATGACACTTACAAATTCATCTCTAAAGCAAAGTGAGTCCCACACACATTCTGATCCCTGTTCCTAGTGTACACATGGCTGCGCTGGGGGGTATAGATAACTTATTGATGGTACTCAGTAGAAAAATAAAGAAAAAAAGGAACTGAGATTTTATAATCCTAGACAAAATACTAGTGATCTAACACTTTTCCTTTAAGTAAATGAAGTCCCTTAGATAAAGATAACCTCATATAATCTTGTTTTCTATTAAGCACAAAATTGAAGAAAATGAAATTCACTGTAGCTAAAGAAAAAAATTGGAAATCAGAGAAATTTTAAATTAACTTCTTCAGTTTCCATTGGGATATTTGTAAATTGTGTAGCAGAAATTATTACAGGTAGGTGAGTCCCTGGCCTTTCTGAATACAAGGGGAGAAACAGTAAGCTTTGGAAAGCTCCCATTCATCAGTTCTGTTGTTGATAACTCTTAAGTGGTAAGAGTTTTACCTAACCTGCAAGGATGTCATCTTCAGATTAACTGATGCTTGGACCCTTGGACTTTGAGGACTTCTTGCCCATATTATTCATCCTTCACTAGAGGAACCATAAGAGAGTCTCTTGGCCATGTCCCTCTTCAGAAAGGAATACATCTAAGCCATCTGCAGTAGATAAGAAAGACTTCTGTTTTTAACTTCCTTCAGGAATCTCTCCACACTTCTCTTAAGACCTTTCCTAATCAGGACAGTCTTCTTAGTTATCCTGAATTTTCATACTCTAGCCTTGAGCCTATTCCTTTTGCCTCTAGCCAGCACCAGAAGGTATTTTATTCTCTTGAAGCCTATTGGTGAATTATTCCTGGTAATAATACCATTCATGGCATGCTTACTCTGTGCAATCACTGTATATGCATCTCTTGTATAATATTTTCTAAATTCCAAAGAGGCCAATGCTGTTGTCATCCTGTATAAATGAGGGCAAACCACAGAGGTGTTATATAACAAGTGCTAGAGATAGGATTTGGGCCAGAGTTATGTCTAGTTCAGAGTCTATAAGTGTGCAGGAATAGTCCAGTTCCATCAGAAAAGAGAAGCAGAAAGACAAAGCAAGCAGTCAGGGTCTCAGCTGAAGAAGGTATTGAGTTCATGTCAAGGTCCTGGTTGCCCTGAAAAGGAGGGCTGATCCCATTTATGATTAGGGAGACGCATAAAGCATCGAGGTTACCAATGGAGGCAGTCCTTGGGCTTCTGCAAGTGCAGGTCAGTCTGAAAGAGATACCCCCCTCAATGCTACATCCTGGGTACCTCCTGTGTCTCACCCTAATCAAGACCCCCTTGCTCCTAATTTTATGATGCCAAGCTTAATCCTACAGGGAGAGTCTGGGCTGAAATTGAAGCATGGGTTAGGTGAAAACTTAGATCCTTTTATTAAATAAATTAGAAGATATGCACTAAAAAGCCCAGTTAAAAATATGTCAAAGAGGTGCTTTCATGAGGAATGAATTTTATTTTTTTAGGCTTGTCTAAGTTTGAGCACTTCTATGCCTTGCAAGCATGGACCTAAAATTTGGTATGTTAAAGTTGTCAGAGCTCAATCAGAAAATACAGAGCACATGTCTACACTTTCATCTGACTCACTATGTGTTTGCATCCTAACTTTAATGAAAAGTCCTTTGGCAGGGGCGGTACTTGCCACCAAGCCTCATGACCTAAATTCAATCCCCAGAACCTACAAAGTAGAAGTTGAGATAACCAGATCCTGCAGTTTGTTCTCTGACTTCCACACGTGTACCATGGTATGTGTGCACATACTCGCACACATACAAAACCAGCAGTAGATAAATGTTAACCAGAAATTATTAACTGAAAAAATTATGGGGTGGACAGATAGATTGCTTAGTGGTTAAGACTGCTTTTTGTTCTTCCAGAGGACACAGGTTTGGTTCCCAGAACCCATATCCAGCAGCTCACAATCATCTGTAACTCCAGCTCCAGGGGATCCAACGTCTCCACTGGCACCTGCACTCATGTCCACATACCCACACACAGACACATAATTTTAAAATAAATAATTTTTTAAAATCATATGGTACCATACATAAAAGAAGTATTTCCTAGTCATTCTTGACAATTTAAACACATAGAGACATACATCACACCAACCTTAAGACACCAGAATTTTTCAGTTAATTGACAGGTAGGAGGCTAATCTTCCTTCTCTCTGAAACTATTTAAATTATTCCAGTCCAGGGGCAGTGAGGGTGTGTAAAAGCACTTGCTGCCAAGCCTGATGACCTTAGTTCAATCCCCAAGACTCACATGGTGGTAGGAGAGAACTGAGTTCTGCAAGTTGTCCTCAGACTTATACATACTCATGCCATGGCATGTACGACCCCCACCCCTGAAATAAATGCAGTTTAGAAAGAAATTATTTTTTAAAAATAAATAAAAAGAAAAACATGAAAGAAAGAAAGAAAGAAAAAGAGAGAAAGAAAGAAAAATGATTCCATTCTTGTAGCTTATCTGCTCACTCATTTTGGCAAGTGACTTGGGCTTCCTTGTATTGATGCTTAACTCTTTCACCTAACTGTGTCTCCAGAGAAGCAGGTTATAAGCTTCTGGAAGGAAGCTTGTCTACCATCACACAGTCAATGAGCAAATTAATTAAGTCTTTCCCTGAGGCTCATGCATACATATTTCGATTTATTGGAATAGTTACTTGGAAGGGTTCTAGAGCCCATGTGCAGTTCTTTTCTCTAGGTTTTAAATACTCTACATCAGTAGTTGTAAGAGCTAATTAGCAGAGCTATAAGTTTGTTCATGCATTTAACAAATATTTAATGACTTACTATGTGCTATAACACTGTGTTCTTAGAGTTAGCCTAAGTGAATACTGTTCATATACAAGGTAATTAACTTTGACTTGTTAAGACTGAAATATTTTGTTTGCTTCTTAGTATAGCTTTGTGGTAGCATCATTTTTTCTTCCTTCCCTTGCATTAAAAACAAGCAGGGAGCTAGGCATGGCAGTGCATGACTTTAATCCAAGCACTAGCTAGGGAGGCAGAAGCAGGCGGGTATCTCTGAGTTCGAGACCAGCCTGGTCTTCATAGCAAATCCATGCCAGCCAGGGCTATAGGGAGACCCCTGACCAAAAAAAACAGGGACTGGAGAGATGGCTCGGCGGTTAAGAACACTGACTGCTCTTGCAGAGGACCTGAGTTCAATTCCCAACACCCACATGGCGGCTACAAACCATCCTTAACTCCAGTTCCAGGGGAATCCGATGCCCTCTTCTGACCTCCGCAGCATTTCACAACACGGGTGCGCTCACATACATGCAGGCAATACACTCATACACATAAAATAAAAATAATAAAATATTTTTTAAAAAGACCCAAAACAAAAAAAAACAAACAGGGACTAAAGTGTAGCTCAGTGATATCATATGTGCTCAGTATGTGTGAAGCCCTGGGTTCAGTTTGAAACATCCCAAAACAGATAGACAGCTCTCCATTCTTCACTGAGAAAGCTCTGTGGTTCATTACATGCTTCCCTCCAGTTCCCTGGGACTGTGGTGGTATGTGAAAAGTAGTTTCCAGGGCTCTGACTGAATAGAGAAGAAAGTTGGTTTCATCTGTCCTTTCCTCTAGGGACAGAACCCTTACTGGGAACTTTAACCAGAAACAACTCTAATATTTGAATAAATTAGGTGAATCACTGCTACACCTGTAACTCAGGAGCATGCCAACCAGGAAGTATGCCTGGGGGCTATGAGGGAACCAGCCTCTCCACATAGGAAATGCAGTCTCTAAATGCAGAATGCTCCCTCTGCACTCTTTGGCATTCTTTGCACTTACCACATTGAATTTTAATCATCTGTTTCTCTCACTGAATCCTTTAGGAAAAAAGCTGTGTGTTAAGTTTCCTCTGAATCTTGCACATTATTTTACATATGCTAAATACCTGATAAATTTTTACTGAATGAATTGAGAAGCTTACTATATTAAAATTGAATATTGTTTAAAATTATAATTGGAGCCGGGCATAGTGGTGCACCCTTTTAATCCCAGCAATCAGGAGGCAGAGGCAAGTGGATCTCTATGAGATTGAGGCTAGGTTGGTCTCCATAGTAAGTCTAGGCCAGCTGGGGCTACAGGGAGACCCTGTCTCAAAAAGACCAAAAAAAAAAAAAGAAAGAAAGAAAGAAAGAAATTAAAAGTGTAGTTGGAGCTGCCTACCTTACCTTCATATTTAATCATTGAGGTACATGAGTGTACTAAGCGAGGGCACTGTATAGCTAAAAAATGGAAGGGCAAAGACAGGAGACTTGGAAGAACCTAAAACTCAGTTTTTAAAATGTACTCTTTGTTGTTTTCCTACCTTTTTTCGTCTCAACCCCCCAACTAGGAAACATGGATCTAAATGCCTTGTGCACTGCAAAATGGGAGTGAGTCGCTCAGCCTCCACTGTGATTGCCTATGCAATGAAGGAGTATGGCTGGAACCTGGATCGAGCCTATGACTACGTGAAGGAAAGACGAACCGTGACCAAGCCCAATCCCAGCTTCATGAGACAACTGGAAGAGTACCAGGGGATCTTGTTGGCAAGGTGAGTCGTCGGGGGCTTTCTCAGACTTGCACTTCTTTAGACAGGCTAGTTAAGGTGAAGGGTTGCCCTCTGCTGCCAGGTCACCGCAACCTAATTTGGACATGATGGTTTTTAACTTGGATTGATTTCTCTTACCAGTTTTTCAAAAAATAAGTATAAGCATTTTAGATTATCATGGATGATTAGGCATTTGATCTTTCAGGTTGTTTGTGGGATATAAACTGACAGATAGAGGTACTGTAACCTCATTTAAGTTTTTAATTAGGTACACTTTTTTGTCTTTTTGATTTACTTTTTTGGGGGTTTTTTTTGGGTTTTTTGTTGTTGTTTTGAGATAGGGTCACCCTGTAGCCCCAGCTGGCCTGGACCTCACTGTGTAGATCAATTTCAAAGATAAGATCCTGTCTGCCTCTGCCTCCCTGGTGCTGGGATTAAAGGCATGCACCACCAGGCCCAGCTCTTTCTATTTTCTTTAAAAAAAAAAAAAAAATACTTTGATCAGAGGCATGGCGGCACATGCCTTTAATCCCAGCATCGGATGCCTTTAATCCTAGCACTCCAGAGGCAGAAACTGGAGGATCTCTGGGAGATCAAGGCTAGCCTGGTCTACATAGCAAGTTTGAGGATTCCTGGGGCTACAGGAAGACCCTCTTTCAAAAAACAAAAAAAAAACTAAGAATAGTTACAGACAGTAGTCAAAATTGCCTTACCTTAGGGGCTGGAGAGATGGCTCAGTGGTTAAAAGCACTGACTGCTCTTGCAGAGGACCCGGGTCCAATTCCCAGCACCCACATGGCAGCTATGAACCATCCTTAACTCCAGTTCCAGGGGAATTCGACGACCTCCTCGGTGTTGCACGACATGGGTGCACTCACATACATGCAGGCAATACACTCATACACATAAAATAAAAATAATAAACATATTTTCTTAAAAAACACTCATGAGCCGGGCGTGGTGGCGCACACCTTTAATCCCAGCAGTCAAGAGGCAGAGGCAGCAGATTTCTGTGAGTTCAAACCCAGCCTGGTCTACATAGTGAGTTCCAGGACCTCTAGGGCTACAGGGAAACCTATCAAAAAGACCAAAAAAAAAAAAAAAAAAAAAAAAACACTCATGCACATACAATAAAAAACATTTTTACAAATTGCCTTACCTATGTCTCTAGGTTTTACTTTTACCATATATTTTGATGGATATTTCTCCCACAAAAAGCTATTTTTCCAGCCTGCCTCTTCACCCCAGTACTGTCCTTAATAGCTTCCTGTATCAATAAGAGACAGCTATTTTCAATTAATAATTTAGTAATTGATTATTAAAATTAGTAAGTGATTTCACTACATCAGTACCTTTGGGGGTTAAATTGCCCTCAACTGCTCTTGGAAACAAGCATCAGATATTAAATGACTTGGATCAATTTCTTCTGGATCAATCTTTTCTGTCACACACTGAAATTCTTAGAATTAATAGATTTGGTTTGTTTTTTCCATGTGAGCATGTTCCCAGTTATGTTTTTCAGGGTGAAGGCACAGCTGTCTAGAAGAAGTTTCAGCTGATGCCAGGGTTTAACTCTAGCAAGTCTCATGACTTGGTCTTGACTCTGAACTCTGGGCTATGTTTCCCCAAAACAAAATGTTAAGCAGTGTTCCAGCCTATCCAGGCAGAAGGGCCACCCTCCCACCCCCAAAGAATTGTTAAAATGTGGCCACAACATAGCAGTATGGTTTCCACTAAAAATCCCCTCCCATCTACGCAGCATTTGGCATGATTTCATCTAAGTCTCTGACTACTTAGTCCTCCTGTTTCAAAGAAGTTACAGGTCTTAGGGCCAGTTTTTTATAATATTTTCCGATTAAATCAGAAGATAGGACACAAATTCTTTTTGGCACAAGAAAAGGGTATCTAAGCATTTGAGGACACATAAATATTGTATGTTCTAGACACACACATAATGGATATTAGGCAACGTCCTCATGTGACCCACTGAGAGGAAGGATACTATGTGTCCTGCCAAGTTCTGTATTTATTCTGGAATCCCAGGCTACTGCAAGCTGTGGGTTGGCCCCCACTGCCACCTTACACTCTACATCAGTGGTTTTCCTTAGCTGTTAAAAGAATTTCAGAAAAGCCGTGAGGATATGAAGAGCAGAAAAAAACAGAAAGTCACTCTCTTCTTCCCTCTTCTTTCTTTTTCTATTCCACCCTGACTTCCTGGGCTTGATCCCTAAAGGGAGGGTAAACTCTGGGCAGAGAAAAACCTCAGAACTTAAATCAGTTGATGTAGTTTCCATTCCTGGCTCACCGCTTGCTGCAACCTTCAGAAGTTGCCTCATGTTTTTCATCTCTACCTGATCCCATCTAGGAAATAAAAAAGTGACATCTATCTACCTTGTAGACTTGTGAATAAAAATGTTCACTATTTTTTCAGCATTTTATTTTAATTTTATGTATATGAATGTTTTGCCTGCATGTCTGTAAGTGCACCGCATGTGTGCAATGCCTGCAGAGGCCAGAAGAGGGTATCACATCCCCTGGAGGTGGAGTTAAGGGGTTAGCTGTCATGTGGGTACTGGGAATTGAACCCAGATCCTCTAGCAGAACAGCAAGCATTCTTAACCACTGAGCTATCTCTCCAGCCCCACTATGTGACTATGTGTGTATGTATGTGTGTTTCCACAAAAATAATACTCTTCCTTTTTTTTAAGATAGGTTGTCACATAGCCCAGACAGGCCTTGAATTTACTATATAGCCAAGACTGGCCTTGATTACTTGATCCTCTTGTCTCCCAAGTGCTGGGATCACTCATTTCATTTTTGTATGCTACTATATATTACTAAGGGTTTTTCATCATCTCTTTTCGCTATGGTTACCCAGAAACACATTCCTATGTGCCATTTATTTCTTCTTCATTGAATACTAGAATCCAGGTTAGGGATATCACTTGGCTGCTTTTGGCTACAAGTAATAGAATCCCTTTATCACTCGGGGTCTCAACGGGTTACGGTTATTTGAAGAGGGTTTTATAGAAGACTTATTTACAAAAGAGGGACTCATTATCAGCAAGGCTGCTTGATAATAGCTCCTAGGCTCCAAGAGGTGGCCTTGAAGAGAGGAGGAGCTAGAGAAACAAAAAAAAAAAAGGCATTTCAGTTAGTCACAGTAACCTTTCCTAGAACCTTCCATAGACTTCTCTATGAGCCATCCCTATGGGCCCGGACTTGATGGTAAGCCTAAAGCCTATTGCTAAAGCCTGTTTCAAGTTGGCTAGAGCATACTCATATTTTCTGGAACAAGTGAACAAATCAGACAATAACAAAAATGTCTGATTATACAGCTGTTAAGAGCAACAGTCTATGATACATTATCTAGAAATGTTGGCACTTGTAGGCTAAGTGAATTGGGCCCACCCAAAGTGGTATCTACATACTTGGAAGAGCAAAGAGCCAGGAATGGTGTCTTAAGATAGGTTGTCACATAGCCCAGTCACTGTCATCTCAGCACTGGGGAGGTGGAAGCCGGAGGATCAGGAGTTCAAGACCTGCCATGTATATGTATATGTATACATATCCTCCATAGTGAGTTTGAGGTCAGCCTGGACTACATGAAATCCTGTTTCAAATAAATAACAGCAAAGGGCTGGAGAGATGGCTCAGTGGTTAAGAGCACTGGCTGCTCTTGTAGAGAACCCAGGTTTGGTTCCCAGCACCCACATGGCAGCTAACAACTGTCTAGAACTCCAGTTCCAGGGGATCTAACACCCTCTTCTGACTTCCATGGGCATTATATGACACAGGTGTACTTATATACATGCAGGCAATACACTCATACACATAAAATAAAAATAGTGAATATTTTTTAAAAAAATAAATAACAGAAGCTTGCTGTGGTGGCACATGCCTTTAATTCCAGCACTCAGGAGGCAGAGGCAGGCAGATTTCTGTGAGTTCAAGGCCAGCCTGGTCTATATAGTGAGTTCCAGGCCAGCTAGGGCTACAGGGAGACCCTATCTCAAAAATATCTAAATAAATAAACAAACAGCAAGAAAAGATATTCCCCAAAGTCCTGTGACTAAACTTCAGTCAGATCATATAGTTTAGGTAAAGAGGAAAACAGCATCCTTTGAGACACCCCACTCAGCTTCTAAAAAATTCTATTTCCTATGCTGGATCTTCTTGGCAGTTGTTTTTTTTTTTTTTTCTGGATTTTGTATTTCATATCTTAGGATGCACATGGTGGCTTTCTCAAGGAGTTAAAGTTGTGATCCTAGCACCCTCTAGCTTGTTATCCAAGGCAGCAACTGGGTACTTAACTGGAAATGGCCGCTGTCTATTTGAGAGGGCTTGGTGTTATGACCTCTTGGCAGAAGAGAAGTTTGCCGAAGTAACAACAGATTCTTGTAGTGACTTCTAAATTTATTATAGTCTTATTAATCAGAATGTGGGGGTATGGGCCATGCAGTTGGCCCTCTGAAACACAGAGGACTTTTTGAATCTTTAAAAATATCACTAACAGCTTAGAGAAGGTTAATTCACTATTCCCCTTTAAGACCTAAAAAAGGATGGTATCATAAAACTATTGGTACTTTTCCTAACCAATTTTTTTTTCTGTTTTAATATTTGGGCCGTGGAAACAGGAAGGATGAGGGGTAGAGTGCTAAAGCTCTCCGTTAAACTGCTAGAAGCCCTATTTGTTATTCTGCACCCTGATTATACAGGTATCTGGCAGATTTATGTTCTATCAGACAGGTTCAAGTTTCAAGCAGACCATTTGCAGGCTAGACCATGTGTCTATGGTATTAGGTTCCACTGTATAGGGAGCAAAAGGGAAAAACTCGGTGACAGCTATGAAGAATTTGTGCCACGTGTCTTGGAAATGTCCATTTTGATTCTTTAAAGAACTCAGTCACCAGGTACAAAACAGGTGTAGGCATATCTTTATCCTGGCTTTCTGGTGCAGACTGACTGTTAGTAGTCATCAGCAGTGAGCCTGAGAATGAAGGGACATAGATTTCTGGTCAGATGGCAGCCAAGCCCAGTTGAAGTTTAAAAGAATTTTCTTTCTTTCCTTTTTGTTTTGTTGTTTTTATTTTTATCTTTTTGAGGCAGGGTCTCCCTGTAGCCCCAGCTGTCCTGGAACTCACTATGGAGACCAGGTTGGCCTCAAACTCACAGAGAACCGCCTGTCTCTGCCTCCCAAGTGCCCGGATTAAAGGCGTGCGCCACCACACCCAGCTTAAAAGGATTTTCTCAATAGTTTTTCAGTTAAATAATCAAAAATATCTAGACCCAAGCATAGCTCAGAGAAAATTCTCAGTTCTTTTCCTAATACCCTAAAAAGTAATCACAACCAGTCTGATTTTCCTGGTCCTATATTTTTAGCAGTATCTTCCTCTGTATAAATTTCTCAGAGTTAATGCTTTTCCTAGCATATAACAAGAAAGCAGAGGCAAGAGAATGGAATGTCTTACCCATCTTGTTGTTCATAATTCCTTCATGTTCATTTACTAAGTAAAAAAGTTAAATTTTTACCCAGAATGGCCCAGTCATCTCTTGTGTTATCTGTGTGTTTACATGAATCCAAATTCAGGTCCGAGGCCACTCATGGGAGGGGAAGATCTAAAACTTGGTTGCATCACCTAGGCCACAGACCAACTCTGAAGTTCTTTTTTGGCAACTTGTTTATTTGCTTGCCTGCCTGGAATGGGAGTAGGGAATCAGCTGAATTTAAAAGTTAACAGTTTTAAAATAATAGATATGATCTAATGTTGTACAACTATCCCTACCAGAGTCAGTGTATTAGAACATACTGGCTCAGACAAAGCTTCATTGGAAAACAGTCTGATGTTACCAAGTAAAACCAGTGATGCACACATACCTTGTGATCCATGTGTTCCATTCCTATATATAACAGCTTTCTTGTCTACCAGCCACAAGAATGTCCATGGCAATGTTGTTTGTAATGCCAAAACTGTTAGTAAACAAGATGGATAAATGAATTGTGATGTATTCAATTTACATACAGTAATGAAGCTTAATATGTTACACAAAAAATGTTTTAGAAGAATATATAGTATGGGGGCTGGAGAGATGGCTCAGCAGTTAAGAGCACTGACTGCTCTTGCAGAGGACCCAGGTTCAGTTCCCAGCACCCACATGGCAGCTACAAACTGTCCTTAACTCCAGTTCCAGGGCAATCCGAAGCGCTCTTCTGACCTCTGCAGCATTGCACAACACAGGTGCACTCACATACATTCAGGCAACACACTCATACACACAAAATCAAAGTAATAAATATTTTAAAAGAATATATATTATGATTTATATACAATTCAGAACATGTAAGCTAAGCAATACATTATAAAACAAAATGCACAGTGACATTTTAAAGAAAAGAAAGGGAATGATAAGTGGAAAATTCAGGAGGGAAGTTGCCATGGGTGAAAAGATGGAGGTCCAACAAGGGGCACATAAAGTGTGCAGTACTTCAGCAATGACAGTGATGACTGGGCAGTGTCGGAGAGCTGCCCACCCCTCGGCACCAAGCCAAGGGTTGGATGTTTTCTTCTCCTTTATAAGTAGGTGTCAGTTTTATTCCCAAGCCCTGACCTAGTATTTTCTGATGACTATCTCCCACAGGAACAGAAGGAAATCCCTGCTGGGCAGCAGGCTATGATGTCAGCTACTTCCTCTGAAATATTCCTCTGAAACAGTCACTGTTTAGACTCACTAGCATAACTTCCATCTCATATTCTCTCCTGATTGATTAGTAATTTTAAAGCATTTTTTAAAAACTACACTTTGGGAGATTCCTGGGGTCATGGGAACTTCTCATTTGCCTGTTGGCTGATAAAATCAGCTGCTCTTTTATATTATTAGGTGACTAAGAACAACTACGCCCAAGCTGTCTTCCCAGTCACACACATCAACAGGAGTTGTCCTACCATGGAGAGAGGACCTAATACAGGTTTGAATGACCTTGTGATAGGTCACAGATAGAAAACACAGTCATATATAGGCCAGGAAACGAAGGCATCTAGATATGAGAAGAAACTTTAACAGAAACTAAGTGGCCTTCGTTGATGATAATGTAAAAATTTAGTCCACACTTGCCCAAAGCAGCTTGCTTCTCCCCACAGCCACTCACCTATTTGAAATGGTATGTTGTCTCCTCCTAGGGGTGGCTGGAGTCCATGCAACTTGAAAAGGGTGAAAAACCCAATGAACACCCAGCTAATTGATTATAGCTTGTCTTTATAAACAACTTGACCTGCTCCTTACCAGGGAAAGTACCCCTCTTCTCTTCAGGCCTGAGAACACCCCACTCACTCAACAGACAGAAAGGAGAACTGAGAGCAGGTGCAGAGTTGAGAAGAAACAGGGTCACATTAGTGTAAGCACATGACTCAGCAGAACCTTATGTGCGGCTTTCACCCCAGGAAAAGATGATTGGGGCTGAGTTTCCCATTCTACCCAGACGTTAGAATCATGGAGACTGCCAAACACCATACTTAAGGGTCCAATCCCTGGGCAGATGATCCTGATCAATCATATAGACAGCTTTCTCATTTTGGCTGGGGCTTTGGAAACTGTGCTTCCTGTGAATGTGTAGTTTGAAGTGAATCTCATTCCCATCTCAGACCTTTAAAACACTAAAGGATGAATGCATAATGGTCCTGGGAGTTGATGAAGAAGAGCCTTCTTTGGCCCATCTATTCTTTCCAAGTGTTGCCTCAGCTTGGTGATTTTTATCCTAAGATCTTTCTGAAAATGTCCTGCCCTTTATGTTCCTCCTCTTCATTCTGTATGTAACATTCTCTCCAAATTTACTAGTCTACCTTTATTTTCTAACTTAAGAGTGATCACCATGAGGCTAGAAAGACAACTCAGTGGTTAAAAGCACTTTTTGCTCTTCCAGAGGACCCAACTTCGGGTCCCAGCACCCATACTGGGAAGCTCACAACTGCCTGTAACTGTACCTTGTGGGAATCTGTTGTCCACTTCTGTTCTCCATGAGCACCACACACACAGTATACATGCACATACACATTAATAATAATAATAATTAATAAATACTGGAGAGATGGCTTAGCAGTTAAAAGCACTTGCTGCTCTTGCAGGGGGCCCAGATTCAGTTCCCAGCACCCACATGACAGCTAACAGCCATCAGTAACTCTAGTTCCAGGGGATCCGATACCTTCTTCTGATCTCTGCAGACACTGCATTCATGTGATACCCTTACATACATGCAAGCCTAGTACTTATACATATAAAATATTTTTAAATATTTCTCTTTGTATGACTTACATGTAATTTGGGTTTTAGATTTTTCTGGTTATAATTGCTAAATACGCTCATTTTTAAATTCAAAACATAAATATGAAGTAGAAAGTAATAATGTCCCCAAGGACGATTTCTGCCTTCCTTGAAGAAATCAGTTACAAATGGTATTCCTCCATATTTTTTCCTATTCTTACTCTAATATGAAAACTGACCATTCCAAATGTGTTTAACATGCTGTCTCACTTAATAATATACCTTGGGCATCAGTACACTAAAATGCCTGATAATTTCTAACAACCTCGTAGCATATGATTATATAGCCTGTAATTTACTTTAGGTTGTTTGTATATATACATGTATATGCACATGTGTGTCACATTCATGTGGAAACCAAAAATCAACAAATTGGGTGTCTTCCTCGGCCACTTCTCTGCCTCACTGAGACAGGTTCTCTCACTGAACCTGTGACTTGCCAACTCAGCTAGTCTGGTGGACCAGCAAGCTCCAGGGACCTGAACTTACATCTTCATGCTTGCATGGCAAGCACTTTCCCAACTGAGCCATTTCCCCAGCCCTGCTTAAAATTTAAGTAAGTCCATTTTTCTTTTCGGCGTCTAATTTTTAATATTACAAACAACATTATAGTAAATATCCTTACATGTATAAATTTAAAGTATTTCTCCAAGAAATATTCTAACAGGAAGAATTGCACATTAAAAGGTTAAAATTAGCCAGGCATGGGGGCACATACCTTTAATCCCAGCACTCAGGAAGCTGAGGTAGGCCAATCTCTGTGAGATTGAGGCCAGCCTTTTCTTTTTATATATATATTTTCTTATTTATTATTTTTATATTTATGTGTGTATGTGTGTATTGCCTGCATGTAGGTGAGTGCACCCATGTTGTGCAATGCCCACGGAGGACAGACAAGGCCATCAGACCCCTGGAACTGGAGTTGTTAGCTGTCATGTGGGTGCTGTTAGCTAACAGTTGTTAGCTGTCATGTGGGTGCTGGGATTCAAACCCGGGTCTTCTGCAAGAACAGTCAGTGTTCTTAACCATTGAGCCATTTCTCCAGCCCCAAGGCCAGCCTTTTCTACATAGTGAGTTCTAGGTCAGCTGGGGCTACAGGGAAACCCTGTCTCAAAAAAACAAAAAAAAAAAAAAACACCACAACCAAAAACCTAAAGGGTTAAACTTGGAGAGCTATTGCCAAAATCAGCAAGATGGCTAAGCCTGGCAGTCCAAGATGAATCCCCAGGGCCCACATAATGGAAAGAGAGAACCAACTCCTACAAGTTATCCTGTGGCCTCCACACATGCACCATGGCATACACACAACATGCATCCAGGTACACACAAATAATAAATGTAATGAAAAAAAATGTTTAAAGAAAGTACAGTTCACCCTCTTAACAGTTGTATGAAAGGGCTTGTTTGGCTACAGTGTTACCAACAGTAACTGTTATGAGCCATTTTGGCACTTTTCAGTCTGATACATTTTAAAAAAAAATCAGATGTCAGCAATTGTTTTGCGTTCTTGTTTTTTGCTACTATTAAGTAGTGTGTTTTGAAATACTTATTCCCCTTGTTCCATCAAGCAGTAGCAAAGCATTTTGCAGGTGGTGGCATAGGCCTTTAATCCCAGCACTGGGGAGGCAGAGGCAGGCAGATCTCTGTGAGTTCAAGGCCAGCCTGGTCTACATAGCAAGTTCCAGGCCAGCTGAGGATACAGGGAGACCCTGTCTCAAAAAGACCAAAAAAATAAAAAAAGAATAGTTTCCCTGGGGGTGGTTTCCTGGGATGGTATTGTTTTCACAAACCAAAGTAAGGTGTTTCCTCTGTGTGCCCTCCACAGCAAACAGCGGCATAACAAACTCTGGAGATCCCATTCAGATAGTGACCTCTCAGACCACCACGAACCCATCTGCAAAACTGGACTAGAACTCAACAAAAAGGAGATTACCACTTCTGCAGACCAGATTGCTGAGGTGAAGACCATGGAAAATCACTCACCCATACCTCCTGTCTTTGTGGAACATGTGGTTCCACAAGATACAAATCAGAAAGACCTGTGTACCAAAGAAAGAATGATCTGCTTGGAATTTTCTTCTCGAGAATTTCATGCTGGACAGATTGAAGATGAATTAAACTTAAATGACATCAATGGATGCTCATCAGGGTGTTGTCTAGGTGAATCAAAATTCCCTCTTGATAACTGCCATGCATCCAAAGCTTTAATGCAACCTGGACAGGCCCCAGAAATGGCCAACAAGTTCCCAGACTTAACAGTGGAAGATTTGGAGACAGATGCCTTGAAAGCAGACATGAACGTCCACTTATTGCCAATGGAAGAGTTGACATCTCGACTGAAAGACCTTCCTTTGTCACCTGATCCTGAGTCACCAAGCCCCCAACCCAGTTGCCAGGCTGAAATCACAGATTTCAGTACAGATCGCATTGATTTTTTCAGTGCCCTAGAGAAATTTGTAGAGCTTTCTCAAGAAACCCGGTCTCAATCTTTTTCCCACTCAAGGATGGAAGAACTAGGTGGAGGAAGGAGTGAGAGCTGTCGACTGTCAGTAGTGGAAATAGCCCCTTCCGAAATGATAGCTGATGACCAGAGAAGCAGCTCTTTGAGTAACACTCCCCATGGGTCTGAAGAATCTTCAATGGACGAGGAGCAGTCAAAGGTAACACCTGCCTTTATACTTCTCCACTTAATGAAGTTCTCTCTAAATAAACTATTTGAGATTATGTTGTGTTAACTTTGGGGAAGGGGGAGGGGGGAGGCCTACCACATCCTAGGCAAGCATTCTACCATGAACTTTACCTCTGATCCTGACCCTTTTTTCAAATGCTTATGAGTATTTTGCCTGCATGTATGGAAGTATACCACATGCATGCAATACCCATGAAGGCCAGAGGAGGGCATTGAATCCACTGAAAATAGTTATAAATGGTTGTTAGGTACTAGGGGGTACTAGGAACTGAACCCCAGTCCTCTGCAAGAACAGCCATTCCTCTTTTAACTACTGAGCCATCTCTCTAGCCTCATTTTTTTTGGTTTGTTTTCAGTGTTAGTCAAGATTTAGTAAGGCAGTTAAGTAAGAGTAAAACAGTCTGGCTGATTCCTTCCTTAAAAACTTAGGGTTAAAATATTTGAATTGTGCTTTTTTAATTTTTAAGATTTTACATGGTTAGCCAGGCGTGGTGGTGCACGCCTGTAGTCCCAGCACTTTGGAGGCAAAGGCAGGCAGATCTCTGTGAGTTCATGGCCAGCCTGGTCTACATAGTGAGTTCCAGGACAGCTGGGGCTACAGGGAAACCCTGCTTCAAAAAGACAAAAAAAAAAAAGATTTTGTGTATATGAGTGTTTTGCTTGCATGTATGTAAGTGCACCATGTTCATGCCTGGTGCCTGCAGAAGAGGGTGTCTGATCCTCTGGAACTGGAGTTAAGGATGGTTGTTAGCCACTGTATGGGTACCGGAAACTGAATCCCAGTCCTCTGGAACAGCAGCCAGTGCTCTTAACCACTGAGCCATGTTTCCAGCCCCAAATCAGATGCTTGGGGTTGGGGGGCGGTATTATCTTTTCAGGTTTTTTGGTCATTTTTTAAAGGGGATGACAGAGGAAAGGATTAGCCAAAACAGATATCCTGGCTGAACAAAGAGAAGCCTATCTGCAGACCCAAGGGGTTCAGATGAAATCTCACCAAGAATGAAGTGACAGGGTGCTGCCAATTGAGAGCTATTCTCTCTGAGAAGATGGATTTATTTGGGAAACATTTTTACAAACTAGACATGTAAATAGTTGCTGGAGTAGCACCTGATCCCCCTGCTGAGTTTGTGCCCTCAGTAACATTTGTGAATTCATCTCTAGCCCTATGGTGCTCAAGAATCAAGAGATGTGGGACCGGAGAGATGGCTCAGCAATTACAGTTCTGGCTGCTCTTCCAGAGGACCTAGGTTTAGTTACCAGCACCCACATGGCAGCTAACAACCATCTGTAACTCTAGTTCCAGAGGATTCAATGCCTTCTTCTAGCCTCTCTGGGTATTTCACATATGTGCACTTACATACATGAGACAAAGCACTCATGCATATAAAATAAAAATAATTAAAATTATTTTAGAAAGATCGGGTGGTGGTGTGAGAAAATGGATTTTATTTATGTATGTATCTAAGTGCTCCAGTGTTGTGCACTGCCCACAGAGGCCAGAAGAGGGCATCAGATCCTTGGGAACTGAAGTTATTGATGGTTGTTAGCTGCCATGTGGGTGTTGGGAACTGAACCTGGGTCCTCTGGAAGAGCAGCCACTGTTCTTAACTGCTGAGCCATCTCTCCAACCTTGAAAAATGCATTTGAGAACAGATAGAATCCTAAGATTCCTAAGTGGTATGTACTTTCTTTTAACGCATCTCAGAAGTAGGGTTTTTGGTGTTTTAAGACAAAATCTTGCTATTCAGTGCTGGTCTTGAATTTTGCCTCAGCCTTAAGAAATGAGCACATTGGAATTACAAGTATGTACAACCATTCAATCTAAGATTCATACTGATTTTCATTTTGACAGAGAGAGAGAGAGAGAGAGAGAGAGAGAGAGAAGAGAGAAGAGAGAGAGAGATTGATTCATGTAGCCCAGTTGGCCTCAAACATACTATGCAGCTGAGCTGACCCTGAACTCCTGATCCTGCTGCCTCTACCTCCCAAGTGCTGGGATTACAGGCATATTCCACTATGCCTGGTTCATTTTGATACTTCTGAAATTAGAATACATCTTTTTTTTTTAAGGGTTTTTTTTGTTGTTGGTTTTTTTTGTTTGTTTGTTTGTTTTGTTTTGTCTTTTTGAGACAGGGTTTCCCTGTAGCCCTAGCTGTCCTGGAACTCACTATGTAGACCAGGCTGGCCTGGAACTCACAGACATCCGCCTGCCTCTGCCTCCCAAGTGCTGGGATTAAAGGCATGCGCCACCACGCCCGGCTAAGGTTTTATTTTTATTTCATGTGTATGAGTGTCTTGCCTTCATATATGTAAGTGCACCGCATGCTTTCCTGGTGCCTGCAGAGACCAGAACAGGGTGTGGAATCCCCTGGAACTTGAGTTACAGATGGGCGTTAGCTGCCATTTGGGTGCGGGGAACCAAATCAGGGTCCTCTGGAAAAGCAAGTAAGTGCTCTCAACTGCCGAGTCATCTCTCCAGCTCTGAAGTTAGAATGCATCTTTTTTTTTTTCCCTTTTTTTTTTTTTTTTTTTGAGACAGGGTCTCCCTGTAGCCCCAGCTGGCCTGGAACTCACTGTGTAGACCAGGGTGGCCTCGAACTCACAGAGCTCTACCTGCCTCTGCCTCCCGAGTGTTGAGATTAAAGATGTTTGCCACCACACCTGGCTTACAATGCATCTTATAGCTAGCAGTGTCTTAGGTCAGTACCATGCAATAATTGAGGGATAAATGATGAGAGATTTACTCTAACATAGAAAACTTCAGCTAATGAGTTTATGGGACCTGATTATTAGATTTTTTTTAATGTTTTTATTTTGCAGTACTGGAAATTGAAGGCAGGGCCTTGTGCATGTCAGGCAAGCTCTTTACTGAGCTCTATCCCCAACCCTGATTAGATACTTGAGGTCTCATAATTTCTATTTACTCCACCTTTTCCAAGACTCACCTGTTATTTTCTCTCCTGAACTACCCAAGGCAACTCTACTTTTTTGTTCTCCCTCCCCCCAAAGCAATAGCTTTGTTTTATTTTTACTGAGAATTCAGAATGCTTGAGTCCTCTTTGTGGACCAGTCAGTGCAGTAGCATTGACAGAAATAACTTCCTGTAAAGTCCTTGGTCATATGAGTACTCCCTCCGGGGCCCGTGCATGCACCAGGCGCTCTGGTCTTGGCAAGGTCATTTGTGCCTGATGTCCTGGCAGATTTCCCCCAAAGGCAAGACTGACCTTGTTAGTTTATACCAACTAAGATTCTCTTTTAAAGGAGAAAGACCAGAACAAGTCCTAAGAAAATACTGTAGTTTGAAGTCTTGCATAAAAGTGTTAACAAGCCAAATTGATAATCATAATGATCCGGCTTTAAGAAGGCTTATTTCTAGATTTTGAAATTCGTTTTTTTTTGCTGTGAGAACTGATTTTTGCATCACACACACACACACACACACACACACACACACGCACCCACTTTTTTGTGGGGTGCCTTGATCTAAATCTGCTGGAAATTCTTGTAAAAGAGTAAAATATCTGAGTAAAGGTTTCTAAGGTTGCTGAGGCATGTGGCATGTGGCTGAGTAAGCTAAGTAAACCTTTCTCAAAGGAGCAATGTGAAATTTAGGGATTGTGAGGTCAGCTATAGAACATATTCTCCTGGCCTTTATGTGTTGGGATGTTGCTTCCCAGAGGAGCAGTTATAGAATGTGTTAGAGCTATTAAGAAAGAAAACAGCAGTGAATCTTCAGAGGGTAGCCACAGCCATCTTGCCCTGTCTCAAGCTGAGCATACTGAAGGTGGACACTGAGCCTATGATTGGAGCCTGTGAGTATGTTACTATCAAATTAGAAGTTGGTAAGCCATTGGGGGGCAGAGGCAGGCAGATCTCTGTGAGTCCAAGGCCAGCCTGGTCTACATAGTGAATTCCAGGACAGCTGGGACAATAGGGAGACCCTGTCTCAAAAAGACCAAAAAAAAAAAAAGTTGGTAAGTCAAAAGGAAAGACTTCATTTACCTTTTTATGGTCTGAGTCCTAGAGTCTTATGATCCTAGGAAAATATGGATTATAAAACCCCCAAAGCTGTTTCCTACATTTTAGAGCAAGTTCTTGGATTAAAATCTTGCTTGAATAAACAGAACAAAGTTAAGGGTGGACAGTGACACACCTCATAATGAATTTTCTATCTCTGACCTTGACTAACCCATTTTGTTTTGTTTTGTTTTTGTAGTCTGACAAAACAGTAAGCTAACAGTCCTGGGCACTCTATATCATATGTCCTCTTAACTAGATAGGTTCTCCTGGATCAGGAAATTGCTAAATAAAACACTAAGATTTTCAGTTAGGTGATAATTTGACATAATCATCTCACTACTTTCTCTCACTTAGGCAGTCTCGGAACTGGTCAGCCCAGACATCATCATGCAATCTCATTCAGAAAATGCAATTTCAGTCAAAGAAATCATCACTGAAATTGAGTCTATCAGTCAAGGAGTCGGGCAGATTCAGTTGAAAGGAGACATCCTCTCTAACCCATGCCACACACCAAAGAAGAACACCATCCATGAGCTGCCTCTGGAGAGGGCACAGGCCCCCGAGAACAAACCCGGACATTTGGAGCATGATGAACGTTTCTACATAGTCCAGCCTGAACTAGCCAAAGACTCCGGGAAGTGCAATCCAGAAGGCTGTTTGACCACATATTCATCTACAGTAGACTTAGAAGAAGAGGAACTAGTTGAGGGAGAATATGACCAGGGCCCAGGGATGCACCCTAGTGCCAAGTGGTGCCCTGGGTCTGTGAGGCGAGCCACCCTGGAGTTTGAAGAGCGCTTACGGCAGGAACAGGAGCACCATGGTTCTGCCCCTGCATGTACCGCGTTGTCCACTCGTAAGAACTCTAAGAATGACTCTTCTGTGGCAGACCTAGTACCAAAAGGAAAAAGTGATGAAACCACTCCAGAACATTCATTTCCCCTTAAAGAAGCAGAGATGAACAAGAGCAAAGGAAAATGCAGTGGGTTCGAAGCTGGCTCACACTCCCATTGTGAACAGAATGCCTCTGTTCTAGCCCCCGAGCTGCTGGAACATCACCCTTTGCCAGCTCCTCAGGGCTGTGTTGGATCAGATACTAGAATTAGTAAGCACCAAGGAGATCTGAAAAAGCAGAAGACTGTGACTTCATACCAGGCGTCCGAGACACAGGCCATCCCTCTTCCCCTTCCCAAGAGGATAGAAATCATTGAGTATACACACACAATTACATCACTCGATCACACTGGGCCAGGAAGTAAAATAGCACCCAGCAAAAGTGAGGAACAAGTACTAAGGAAGGTGAAGATGGAAAAGTCTATCACTATGTTTTGTGCACTGGATGAAAATCTGAACAGGACTCTGGACCCCCAAGTGCTACCTCTGCCTCACTCTTCCTCTGAGTATGACAGGCCCACTGACCCAACTTCCATGTTGAGAAGCCCAGAAGATAAGGGCCCATCAACATCCCTGGAGACAGCAGCACCTTTAGATAGTTGCACAACCCATGTAGCATCTCTTAACTTGGATTGCCTGCCTCCCCAGGCCATCTTTCACTTGGAAGGCTGCATTGAGCAGAGTAGCACCACAAACAGTGAGCCCTCTACAAAGCATATTAGCTGGGAAGAAAGCCAGGAGGGCCTCCTTCCCAGTGGCAATGAAATGACACACACAGTCTCTCAGTTAAGTAATGAAGACCTAGGTTTAATTAGCAGACTTGGTGGCAACGTTGGGGTGTATCAGAAAAAAACAGACCCATCCCCTGAAGTCTTTCAAATCCCACATAGCTCTAGTAGTGAAAATATCAGGGGTCTCAGCCACAGCTCTGGTGTGGTAAAGGAACGTACTAAAGAGATTGAGTCTCGAGTGATCTTCCAGGTGGGGGTCACCAAACCATCACAAATGAGGCGCTCAGCATCTCTCGCCAAATTAGGTTACCTGGACCTCTGTAAAGACTGTTTACCTGAGAGGGAGCTTGTCACCTTGGAATCACCTCATCTCAAATTGCTTCAGCCCTTCATCAGAACAGACTCGGGCATGCATACCTTGATGGCCCAGGAGCCCTCAGGAATCTTTGGTGTCCCCCAGAACCCAGAGCCCACCAAGTATTTTGTGGAGCAACTTAAAACAACAGAGTGTATCGTGCAAAGCAAACCAGTGGAGAGGCCTCTTGTGCAGTATGCCAAAGAATTTGGTTATAGTCAGCAGTGTTTGCTCCCCAGGGCAGGGCTAGAATTGACTAGTTCTGAAGGAGGCCTCCCTTTGCTACAGACACCAGGACTACAGTGTGCAGGCCCAGCTCCAGGACTGGCCGTGGCACCCCGTCAGCAGCATGGCAGAACTCACCCCCTTAGGAGACTGAAAAGAGCAAGTGATAAAAAGCGGACATCCAATCCCTTCTATAACACCATGTGACTCTGAGCCTGTATGTGTGATTTCTAAGAGAAAATATAAAAGGGGCAGGTGTAATATGTAAGGAACATGCACTTTATTGGTTAATTTTATATTTTGGTCATTTTACTGTTCCTGGCGCATGCAGGGTTTGAGTTCTGTGTGTGTGTGTGTGTGTGTGTGTGTGTGTGTGTGTGTGTGTGTGTGTGTGTAGATTGATTTGAATGGCAAAATCATTTTATCATTTTTTTATTTTTAAAAAAATTCAAACCTCAAAAAAAAAAAACATTTTGAAAGAACACCTTTATCAAAAGCAAATTGCTGTTTTTCAATCAGCTGCCACCTGCCTCCTCCTCATTTTGCCCTCTGAGAAAAGACATACTTGCTTGATTGAGGGACAGAAGCAGACGGAGTAGGTGGTGCTGAAGCTACAAACTGGAAATGCTCATAGGCCTGAGGCATCTGATGGGCTGACAGGCAGGAGGAAGCCAGATGTTCTCAGCCTGCATCTCGAGCCCTATCCCTTTGGAGTCCCAGAAGGGGGCAGGTTCCGCTTTGCTCCAAAAGGCAGTCTAAAATCCATTTCCTGTATTCTAGAATACATCATTATAAAAAGGGATTGATGGCTACTTTTGCAAATCTGCCAAGCAAATCATTTTCTCCAAGAAAATAATCTTTAAAATTGAAAGGGAACCCTAATGAAGTTCAGAGGTCTTCTACAGAGGAAGGCATTACAAGAGAAGAGGTCAGGCTGAAGAAGAAAAGGTCACTGCCCGGTAACTACTGGGTTTGTGGCATCCACACAAGTGGTCACTCTGCCCTCCCTGCCAGCTGGCATGCTCTCCAGCATCCTCCTAGCTGAAACAGTGGAAAGACACTTGAAAAACAGCAATCAAAGTCGATGTGTTCTTGTAAAATGAATGCTTACGTAGGGTTTTAACCCTCCCATTACTTGAATAATACTGTGGGCCTTCTGAGTTTAATGGCCATATTTTTTTTCCAATTTATTTTCTCTCTTGCTGTTTTCCCCATCCTTTTTTTAATTTCATAGATTACATTTTCATTGTTATATTTACATACATGTAACCACCATTGGACATGGAGTTTCCTATACTGTCACTGTTAACACTTGACATAAGCTTTTTTTCCCCTCCTTTTCCTAGAAGGTTTGTCATTTCTCTATAAAGTTTATACACAGTATTTATGTACATAATGTTGTCACTTTGTTAATGTTTTGTTGATGATATTGTGGGGTCTTTTTGATTTATTCTTTTTAAGAAGGAAGTAGCGTTGCAACTAGAAAACACAGAGACACAAGAAGTAAAACTGGTAGTTGTTTATAAGAATCTATGCATTATATTGATGGTGGTTTTAATTGTTTTAAATGGAGATTTCTAATTGCCAACTCCTGCCAAATTATGCACTTCCTCCTCAGAAACCCCTACAGACTCCCATTAGATCACACTGAAGGCTGATTTTTGTTTGAGACTGAAGTCCCAGTTATTGAAGCACAGGCAGGGAGTATGTATGCCTTGCCCAGCATGGCAGCTCCTAGTGGAGGCCAGAAGGCTGCAGAGGAGGCCTCAGCCAAGGGCATGGGTTCCTAATGACTCCATTTAGGATGCCATTGCTTTGCTGCTGTTGTGAAGAGCCTTAACACCAGCACACCTGCCATAAATAAACCTCTTTGAGATTCTTATAGAAAACATAGCCTGAAATGAAACACCCACCATAGCTCATATAACTGAAGAAGTCTGCAGTTTGCTTCCTATTTGCTTTGGTGTCCACATTGCAGCAGACTGTCTGGGCAAGAGCCAGGGACTTGGGCTTTTATTTCATTACAGCCCTAAATTGTTAAGCTGATCAGAGGCCAGAATTTGAAGGGAGCAGGTAGCAGGATACACAGAAAGTAGTCTGAGGCCATTTTTAGGTGCTTCAGAGGAACTGTGGGTCCAGTTACCATACTGAAGCCATGGTTGGGTTTAACATCACTGCCAGGAGGCAGATTACACAGAAACCACCTGCTGAAAGTATATGGTATAGTAGTTACGGGTGCCTGTGCAGTCAGGAGTTTCCTCGACTGTCAGCTTTGTGATTCCCAGATATTTATGTGTTGTGTTTGTCAGGTGGTACCAGTGTGAGGGAGCCTTGTGAGGCAAGGTGATGGATTCCAGGACCCATCCATCTAAAGAACCCTATCTTGTTGAGGCAGTTCCACTTACCAATGTGATGGGGAAGGAACACGAAGTTATGGGTGATGGAGAGAAGAGTGTTTGCAAGGAGATTCAGAGAGTGACATCACTCCCAAAATAGCTAGGCTTAGGGGCTCACACCTGTAATCCCAGCACTTGGAGGTTGTCAGGAAGATTACTGTGAGTTTGAGGCCAGCCCAGGCTACAGAATAAGGCCCTGACTCAAAACAAGTGGCATCCACATGCCATACATTGCCAGCAGTGGGCTGCCAGCCATTATTTAATACTCACTCACTGCATTCAGGAACAGCAAAGACCCAGAAACCCTCTGATGTTATGAAACAAACACCCAAGGTGAAAAAGCACCCAAGCTTATAGTTTCAGGTTGCCTGTTTCCCACTCCCCCTTTCTGTTCATGGAAAACTCAGATCTGGCTTTGATAGATGACTCTGAGCAGGAAAAGCCTTGACATCTTGACTAGTGCTTAACCTCTTACTAGATGCCTCTCTATCTTTATTTTTTTTAAGACCACTATAGTCTGTCAGTAGTTCCAGAGAGATCTGTGTGTACACACACATAGGAAGAGTTGACATTTCAGTGCCTGGGATAAAGTTCCAGGAGCACCCAGGATTCGAGCTATCATCTGGGTGGTTACCTGGTCAGCTGGAGAGAATCCCAGCCCTTTGTTGATTTTTGGAAACAGCAGTAGTGTGTGCTATAGTAGACATGTAGTATTGTAGTCGGGTAGTAGTCGTGTCTCATTCTGATCGCTTTTTGTATGCTTTTTAGACTATTTGCTCCTGGCATCTCCACCTCTTCAGGATCTTTAGTGTTTTCCTGCTCTGTACCTTGTCCCAACTGGTATTTCCTCTTTCTCACTTTGGGAATTACCAAGAGCTCTAAGGGCAGGCTCTAAGGTCTCCTCCCTCTTGCTCCCAGGTCCAGAGGCTTCCTGGGAGAAGCATCTGAGACAGCACCCTACAGAAGTCTTTGCCTGCTTCATCTGAAGGTTTCAGTTCTGAAGTGAGCTGGGCATGTTTGGTAAAGATGTTCTGTGGGAGTTGGTTTTTTTTTTATTTTCTAAGAAAGCATTATGCAAAAAGTTTTAAGGGCATTTCAAAGTAAAGCCATTGCTTTGGCTTTTTCAAACAACTATTTGTGGATACTTTGTTTACTTTGTATTAAAATGTGCATCATCTTGTTGGTCACTCAGGCACTGAAGCCATGGCTATCTTGTGAGTCCTCCCCCAGAGAAACACCATAATGTCAGCCCTGTGGATGAGTGCGTAGAGCGTGGCGTTGACTCCACCTTCCTGCACTCGTGTCCAGCAGTTGTGCATCCCCTGGTGATGGTGTGTCTTAATTGTGACAGTCGTGATGGTGAATGGCTAGTATGATGGTTTCCTTTTTGCTTCTCAATGGTAGACAAGATGAAATTCTAGTTGTTTCAGCACCAATCCAACTTAAAAGCATCATGGACTTCGTTATCACTTCCAAATGAAAAGATTAAGCATGCATTGGACTTAAGTACAATTGTTGCCTCAACTCATCCAGCATCCATGTTAGGAAAAGGCCTGTCACCAAAGCAGGAAGCTGCACACCCCTCCTTCCTAGGGATTTGGAACCTCTCAATGCCATGGAGAGCTGTTGCAAGGTGCTTTTGTACTCTTCCAACCTGGAAGAGGAAGGTAACTGGGCCTGGCTTTTGCTATGAAGAGAGAACCAGCCTCATCGTCTCAATGTCCCAGAGATCTAGGACAGAATTTCTAAACTGGAATCATCCCATGTCAACTTCAAGAGTCTCAAGAGGTTTCTGGCTGGTGCTGCCATCTGTGTCTTCACAGCAATGCTGGTGGCAGCATCCTGCCTACACACACAGGACATACCCAGGCTTAATTTAAGCTGATGACCCAAACTGAAAACTGAGGAAATGACCTGAAAGGTTTTCTAATCAATAAGCCCACTGGGAATTGTTTGGTTTCATAGTTTACAGGATTTTGATTTGCTTGGCATAGCTAAAGGTGCCTTTTCTTTACTTTTTTTTTTTTAAAACAAAAATTTATTTTGTAAGACTTGTTCTAAACACAGAAATCAAGTCCAGGACACTCGCACTGACTGTTACCTTTGCCCAGGCTACCCCAAACTTTTATGCTCTCATTTTAAATAAAAGCAGGTGCTCCCTGGAATCTCTGGGACTTTCTGAGGCATTTAACACAGAATATAAAGAGTGGTCTCATCTCCTTCCTTAACGTCCTGGTGGTTGGGATGTTCCACTTGTATCATAGTTTTTTTTATTATTACTGATGTGCTCTGCTGTTTTTAAATGTGAACTTGTGTGCAAATGTGCAGATTCAATGTTCTTGTTACAGATTGAATAAATTTTTATTTTGAAGAAAAAAATGTGTGCTTCAAATACAAGAAAGGAAGTGGGTGCTGGAGAGGTAGAGGGGTTAGGAGAGAACACAGCCATGCATGGAGAGTTGGCTCAGCAGATAAGAGCCCTGGCTGCTCTTGCAGAGGACCTAGGCTCAAATCCCAGCACCCACATGGCAGCTGACAACCATCCGTAACTTCAGTTCCAGGGGCTCTCACACTCTGACCTCCAAGGGCCTTGCATGACATGAGTGCACTTACATACATGCAGGCAATACACTCATATGCATAAAAATATTTTAAAAAGAGAATGCAACAAACAATAGCACACACTGAAGAGCTCCAGAGAAATATATATATATGACCTCCTTCCACAAAAGACTAGATAGGAAATGCAATCACCAAAAATTATTGCAACAGTGAAGCTCCAATCAAGTGACCAAGCTGGGAATTTGGCTAGTCAAAGAGGCACTTGGCAGAGCTGCCACCTGAATGCTAGGAGAATGAATAAGCAAAAGGACCTAAATTCCTCCACCATCTGTGGTGCAGAGTGACTGGTAAGGGACAGCTGCAGTGACTTGCCCTAGCAGTGCCTGGATTTGTTGGGTGAATGACCTCTCCCAGCATTAGTGAGAGAACTAACAAGCTTTCAGCACAGTGCACCTCAGATCATGGAGATGAAAGGGGCCATGAATTTCTAAAGAAGTAAAAGCTTTAACTGCCTACCATTAGTAAGTAATCTACAACATCAACTGTACAGGAGAGAGATGGAGCCAAAGGGCAGATCTGGCAAATGAGCAAAGGCCAGGGTCCACCTTCTCCCACCTTCCCATAGACTCATCATGAGATATTTAACGGCACTATTCATCACATACAAGACAACACTACTGTCTGGAGAGACCTGTTTCTGGTTCCCCAATTGGCAACCAAATTTGTTTATTTCCAGAGAAAACATCAGCCTGCTTTATTCTGAATCATGCAGGTCAAGTGAGGAACACACTACTAGTCTCTAGGGGGAGTGCATGATGAAGAAAGTAAGGTCACTTCACAAAATATTCCAAGAGAGCTTGGCTTTCGAGTCAAAGCAAATGGGCCAAATCATGTCCAGGTCATCAGGTACCTCTTCCAGAAAGTGGCTTCATGGGGAGCCACCAAGCTCTATGGGGAGGCACCAAGCACCAACCCCGAACTGGTTCTTATGCTTAGCTGGAGCATTAGGCAGATTCAACCAGAACCTAAGAAAGACCTATAAATCCCTGCTCCTTTACCCAGAAAGCACCCTGACATCACAAATGATAGAACTGAATTCTCATAACCTTTGGAGATGGGTACTGTTAGTAACCCTGTTGTATATTTTTATTTTTATTTTTAAGTGTATGAGTGTATTGCCTGAACGTAGGTAAGCGTACCTGTGCTGTGCAATGCCCAAAGAGGTCAGAAGAGGGTGGTGGTGTATTCCCCTGGAACTGGAGTTACGGACAGTTGGTAGCTGTTATGTGGGTGCTAAGAATCGAACCCAGGTCCTCTGCAAGAGCAGCCAGTGCTCTTAACCATTTCTCCAGCCCTTAATTTTTGAGACAGGGTCTGCCTGTAGCCCCAGCTGGCCTGGAACTTGCTATGTAGACCACGCTGGCCTTGATCTCACAGAAATCCACCTGTCTCTGCCTCCTGACTGCAGGAATTAAAGGTATGTGCCACCGCACCTGGTTTTTATCCCTATTTTAAAGATGAGGAAACAGACACAAAGTGATTAAGTACCTTACCCATTCAGCAGGGGTTGATGGAGCTTGAGATTCTTGGCCCATGGTCTGGTAGTTGGACCCATGCTTTTCAGCACCATGTATTTCCGCCTCTTCTTGAAGGTCAGTGCCACTTTAATCTCGCAAATTATGTTTTATGGCACCAAGGGTTGCCTAGACTAATTAGAAAACTGAGGATCCAGTCTGGCTTAGTCACCCAATTTTTGAAGCTTTCTGTTCTGTAGATCTTGGCTGGGTCAAGTTTGAACTTTGTATCACTTGTTGGCAGAGAAGGTGGTTAGAGGACAACTTTCAGGAGTTGGTTCTCTCCTTCCACCATGAGGGTTCTGGGGATGAACTCAGGTTGGTAGGGTTGGAGGCAAGGGCCTTTGCAGGCTGTGATCTTGCTGACCCCTCTTCGATTTTACTGATTACATGTGTGCTCTGGAACGTGGGAAGCCAAAACTGGCCCCATGCTGCCCTCCAGGACCTATGATGGAAGGGAAAACCAATGTGGTGTGCAGGCCTTCAGAAAACAGCAGCTACCTGAACTGGCTGCTCTTCACTGACTGTATTTTATCTCCTCCTTGACCTTGAACGGTACTCAGACCTGTAGGTCTTGGGAGTGGGAAGTTCTTCTCTGGAATCTAGGCACCATCTCAAACAGCCTAGGGCACATTAAAACTCAGGCTAAAGGGGTTCAGAGTCGGTTGCTCTGATACCTAAAATGTGGCCAAATATCTGGCCAGCCTCTTTCCCCCTGAACCTGGCGCAGAGGGTGAGTTTACTCCCTCCAGGTCCCTGAGCTGCTTCCTGCCTGGCTCCCTGGAATCCTCTGATTGAGTGCCAGGGTTTTAGGTTCTCAATCAAGGTATCCCTATTAATAACAGTAAAATTCACAGCCTCGCAGTTGCCAGCAGTCAGCCTCATCCAGTAGCTAAGACAATGCCCTTCAGAGCATCTTCCGGGGCTTCTACCCAGTGGTGCCTGGCTGTGCAGCCCTACGCCCCTGGCCCTCTGGGGCTGACAAAAGCAGGAGCGCGACTGCGTCAGGAATGCTGCGGGAAGGCACCTGACCTCGCGCGGCGGCCTGATCCAGGGGTGCGCGCCCTCAGCCGACTCCAGCTCTCGGCCTGCGAACCTGGGTCCAGCCTTCCTGCGAGGGTGGAGGGAGGGAGGGGGCACGCACGCCCCTCCAACGTACGCACACTCAGTTTTCCCTTTGCGCTGAGGTCCGCAGACGCTCAGCGCGAAATCGGGAAGCAGGACTTTCCCGCCGCTGGACGGGGCGGGGCCAAGAAGCCCCACCCCCGCCAGGGGCCCGCCCCCTCGAGTTGATGGCAGCGGCAGCTGAGACTGCAGCGGAGCTGCGGGGAGAACCGCAGGCGGCGGCCGGAGCGCGTAACCCTGCGCCCAGCCCGACGCCGCCGCCACCCAGAGAGGCAGTTCCGGCGCTCTGACGCCTCGCTCGGCCCCCAGCGGACACCGGCCCTCTCCGCAGAGGAGGCGCAGAGCGAGCATAACCCGGCGCCGAGCCCGACGCCGCCGCCACCCAGAGAGGCAGTTCCGGCGCTCTGACGCCTCGCTCGGCCCCCAGCGGACACCGGCCTCTCTGCAGAGGAGGCGCAGAGCGAGCACCCCTGTCCGCATTAGGACCAGGTACCCCCCTCGCCGCCGCCACCGCAGCCATCCGAGAGGGCGGGGTCCCGGGACGGGCAAAGGTCTGCGCCCCTCCCCCCCGCCGCCGAATTCGGTCCGGCCAGGGAGGACTTGGTGTCTATATTTGGCTGGACAGCGGCAGGCGAGCAGACACCTCGTCTCATAAGAAGGCACTGCCGGGGCAGGAGACTGGAGAAGTATGCCGGTAGGCCGAGCCTCAGACCTGGGGCTGCAGAAGTGGTTTGAAGGGCACAGGGATGCCGGGACCAGAGAGGGCCGGGAGTCATTGAGACTTTCGGGAGCTGGTGGATCCCCTCGGGAAGAGTAGCATAGCGGAGGTTCTGACTCCACAAAAGGCACCTCACCCTCCCTTGCCGGTGCAAGTCTGATTTTTGTCAATGGGGTCGAGGACCTCCCACCCCCAGGGAAGTCCAAGCCCAGGCAGAGTACCCAAAGGAGAACTGTACTAAAGTATGGTATGCACATCAGATGACCATGGTCGGGACCTCTTGGAGAAGCCAGTTCGTGGTGGAATGGAAAGAGGGGAAATCCCCCTTACATGGCCCACCCCACCGCCACCGTGGGAGGAAACTGGCGAAAACAGTAGTGGGGAGGACACAGGTTAGCTAACAAGAGGAACTGCTCCCTTGGCAAATTTGTAGAAAAGGGTACATCTGCCTAAATTCTGCCAGAAATATGAATTCAGGATCTTGGAGGCTGCAGTACTAACCCCATGACTGGCTAAGATCCAGTAACTAAGGGAGGGTGCATTGAACAGGGTGGCTCTAGGAGATACAAACACTTGTGGAGAGATGTCACCCAAGACTGGCAGCAGAAGGGAACCCAGGCATAGAGATTCATCCCAAAACACTCTGTGTCCCTGGAAGATTCAGTCCCTGTCATCTTCCACTGTCTGCTTAGCCTGGGTCACTTAGAAGTGGTTCAAGCCCTTTAGGTTAAACAGCATTGACAGGTGGCAAAGGCCTACCTCAAACTGATCACCTTGAAGAAAACTCCCTGCTTCTAGAAGACTCCCTGCCAGATAACCCTTCTCACCTGCTCCTCCTTCCCACAGTTCACAGGTTTAAGGATCAACCTGCTTCTGGACCCTGAGATCCTCTGCCTTTGCCCCAGCCATGAGCCGGCGTGTGGTTCGGCAGAGCAAGTTTCGCCATGTATTTGGTCAGGCAGCAAAAGCTGACCAGGCCTATGAGGACATCCGGGTGTCCAAGGTCACATGGGACAGCTCCTTCTGTGCTGTCAACCCTAAATTTCTGGCCATTATTGTGGAGGCTGGAGGTGGGGGTGCCTTCATTGTCCTGCCTCTTGCAAAGGTGAGGGATGAGGGGAAGGAAGTAAGTGGGATGGCACTGGCTGGGGCCTGGGATATCTATTTGTCAATAGCCTTTTTTCACTCCAGTCCTCAGTCAGAAGGGAAGTCCATGAATTGACTGGTCTTTCTTCCCCAAGCCCACAGAATAGTGGGGAGTCTCCCTTACCCAACCCTGAGCACCAATGTCAGGGTGGCCTTGCCCACTTCCTAGGCTGTCCACCTCTATACAGTACCCTGTTCCCAGCAGGTACCAAGATGGGAGTTAGTAATGGAGATGGCTGGGAGGTAACGTAGCCAAGGCCTAGTCAGGTGCTGATTTTATCTTTCCCTAATCTCTCTCTCTCTCTCT